TTCAGACAAAGCAGCCTGTTACGCTAATGTTGTCCGTGAGTGGGCACTCATCCCGAAAGGTTAGTTAAGTTGGAAGATTTCTCCGATTTTGAATTGGTTTATTTAATCCACAACTATGGTTGCGAGAAAGTGATTAAAAGACCACACCCAGTATATGAAAATCTAGTGAAGGAGTTCTATGCCAACTTTAATACAGAAATCGACACGCCTGGATCAGATCATCTACATCAGACATGGGTTCGGGGTAAATGGATCATGTTTTTACCAGAAGTAATTCATGACTACTATCAGCTAACCTGGAATAATGTGGTCCCAGTCCTGCATGATTTCAACTGGATTGAGGTTGCAGAAGTATTACTGAGACGTGAAAATGCTTGGCCTCTCCCTACTGTAGATTGGTATCAGATTGACCTCACCCCATCTATAGCTATCCTATGGTTGTTCATATGCCACAACATCGAGCTCATATCCCATAGGACGACATTCACAAATCAAAATACGGGGTTTATCTATCATTTAGTTCAAGGAAACAAGATTGACTTGGCCACTTACATCTACAACCAGATATACATTACAGGCACATGGGGAGACAGGCACACCTCGTTGATTTTCCCAAGCTTGATAAGTGGGATTTGTAGAGCTGCAGGCATACAAGTTCAACCTGGGAAGGCACCAGAGAAACCAAGTCCCTATATCAAGCGCCTCACACTCGAGGCCCTGGGCCGGGCCAGAATTAAACATCAACAGAAGTTGGAAAACGAGCGACGCTAACGGCAACAGGCTGAGGAAGGACAAGCAGCTGAGGACTTTGAAATACCACAAGCTCCTCCACCATCGGCTGAAATGGATACCCAGATATTGAGGCAGATGTTTGCCACTATGACAGGACACAGCCGAGACATGCAGAAGTTTCAGCACTCATTTGGAGCACTGAGTACCACCATCTAGCAGGTGCAGACTGATATGGCATCCATAAGAAACTTCGCTTCCACTGCCAGTAGTGAGTCCCTTGCAGCGCGAAGACAGATGAGTACCTTTGACGGGCGATTGGGTATGTATGTTGGCAGGATGGATGTTATACAGTGATTGGTAAACGAGACATGGGACCGTCTAGGGAGTTTGGAGACCAGAGTTCAGGCCATGCAGGTAGAGCAGACCCAGCAGTCTGACATATCGAGAGAGATTTTATCCCGCCGTCCTCCCCCTCTTGGAGATGATGCTGCCGGACCCAACCTTCCATCACAGCCACCATTTTGATCAGGGTAGTACTGTTTGCCCCATTTTGATTTTTCTTCTTCATTTTGTCTTTAAAATTGTCTTTAATCTTTCGTTAATCTTACATTGAGGACAATGTATTAACTAAGTTTGGGGGTGACATAATTTTAAATCTTTATCTATGTTCATCAGTATCTATTTCCATTATTGCATAATGTATACATGATGAGTATTAAAAAAAAATTCTTTGCATTTTATTCAATTTGTTTTAATTCTTTTCATACATACTTGTGTGGGCTTGATAATCTTGTTAGCTATGATGTTATTATTGGACTAGTTTAAACTGTAAAATTTTGGATCTGGTGTTAATTAGACTAACTGATACCTGTTGATGCAACACTTGACATTATCTATGCGCGCTATTCATGCTTGACATGTTAGGTGAATGACTGAATTTTGAGTATAAAGTAGGAAAAGAATGATAACCCCCTATTGAATTAACCCATAAACTACCTTAAAACAGTTTGGTGATAATTGAGCTATTATAGGGGAGCATTGAGATGAGCGTGGGCTCCGTGCATGAATTTTATTGTGTGGATTGCCGAGACCAGTGAGGTGAAAAGTAGGTGAAAATCTTAAATTGGGGGTTGATTTTGGAAATTAAATGTCTAGAAAAATAACAAAGGGCAAAAAATTAATATGTGAGAATAAGACACTTCTTTTCACGCCTTTATGATTCGAACAAATAAGCTTGTAAGGATATTTCAAAATCTGGTGCCCTAAAACCAACTGGTCTGGGAGTCACCGGCTCAAAGCTCGATACATGGGTCATATAGAAAGTAAGAGGGAAAGAGGTTAATAAAAAGTCATCTGATCGAATTTTTATAATTCGAGTAAATAAGCTAGCAAGGGTTTAAAACCTAGTTCCCTAAAGCCAATTGGTTTGGGAGTCACCGGCCTAAAGCTCGTTACATGGGTTATATAGAAAGCAAATGAGAAGATGATAATAAAAAAAATCAAAAAAATTAGAGAAAAGTGAGAAAAACAAAAGAGAGACAATAACATGAAGAAAAGTCCTTTGACATTTGGTTGAAAAAATTATACCTTTGAGGCGAGGCAAATAACCTAGTTTAATCTTGAGTGTCGAAACAATCAAACTTAGGAGAGCCTTCACTTGTTGAAATGTAAACTTGTGATAGTGAGATCAATCCAAACTATGAGAGGGTGATGACTACAGCTATGTAAATTCCTAATCTTAAAACACAAC